TAGTTCAGTTACTTACATCATATCTAAGTCATTTGTGTCACTTCCCTCTCCCTTAACCCAGTTCATCCAATCCACCAGCAAATCCTGTTAATTCTACCTCCAAAGCATAGCTTAAATTTATCTACTCCTTGCCAACTCCACTATCACCATCAACTCAAAATAAGTTACCAAAAATCTTTCGTGAAGTTCTCTTGCAGCATCCTAACTCATCTCCAAGTTTCTCTTTCCCTGAAACACCTCCATAATCTACTATCTTCATGTAAGAGCTAAGAGTGATCTTTTCAGAATGCACATGAGGTCTTATTACTCCCCTGCTTAAAACCTTCCAGTGAACTTTTTCCATATTATGGTCTACAAGGGTCCTTCCCTAACATTATCTATGTATTTTAACCTCATCTCTTGCCATTCTTCCTCTAACCACTCAACACACTCCTTAAATATGCCATGTTCTTTTCAGACTCAGGACTTTTATACACACTGCACATTCCTTCCTTTCCTCTTCTCCTATTTTCAATCAGCTTTTACTAAGCACTCAGCTACATAGTCACCTCTAGAAAACTTACTTTCTTCATCACTATCAGTACTTTAAACTGGAATGAGTATATTTCAGAATAGTGCAGAGTGTACATTCTGAAAACTCTTGAGAACATTTCTTAGTATCAAGAAATTGATAAAATCATAGAATCTTACATAACTGGAAAGGAAAACAAAGATAATCTACTGGCCTCATGTTACATATACAAAAACAAGTCCAGGGAAATCAAATAATTTGCCTGTTTTTCAAGGATAGAACACAGGTCAATTCTCTTCCAGATCTGTTCACTACATTTCCACTTCCTTTAAATAATCCCAGTTATAAGAAAAAGCAATCCTAAAATTCATATGGAACCACAAAAGACGATGAATAGCCAACAATCGCGAGAAAGAAGAACAAAGCGGAAAGCCTAACACATCCTGACTTCAAAACATATTACAGGTGGGGAGGAGGAGGTGGACAGAAGGGAGGAGGAAAACATATTACAAAGCTACAGTAATCAAAACAACATAGTAGTACTGGCACAAAGACAGACATACAGACCAATGGAACAGAACAGAGTCCAGAAATAGATTCACATATTTATAGTCAAATGATCTTTGACTAAGGTGCCAAGACTACACAATGGAGAAAGGATAGTGACTTTAACAAATGGTGCTAGGAAAATTGGATATCCAAACATGCAGAAAAAAAATAAATTAAAATTGGACCCTTATCTTACACCATACACAAAAATCAACTCAAAATAGATTAAAGACTTAAATGTAAGACCTGAAAACTCCTAGAAGAAAACATATTAGAAAAGCTTCACAACACTGGTCTTGGCAATTATTTCTCCAATATGACAGCAAAAGCACAGGCAACAAAACCAAAACTGAACAAGTGGGACTATATCAAATTAAAAAGCTTCTGCTCAGAAAAAAACAAAAACAAACAAAAAAACAAATCGTGTGGAAAAAGGAACCTATTGAATGGGAGAAAACACGTGTAGATCACGTATCTGATAAGCAGTTATTATCCAAAATATTTAAGGAATGCCTACAACTCAATAGCAAAAAGGCAAATAACTTTATTTAAAAACAGGTAAAGAACTTGAATAGACATTTCTCTAAATAATACATACAAATGGCCAAATGGTATATGAAAAGATGCTCAACATCACTAATCATCAGGGAAATGCAAATCGAAACAATCATGAGATACTGCTTCACACCTGTTAGGATGACCATTATCCAAAAAAAATTTTTTTAAAAGTGTTGGTCATCATATGGAGAAAATGGAACCTTTTGCACTGTTGGCGGAAATGTAAAATGGTACAACTGCTATGGAAACAGTATGGAAGTTCCTCAAAAAATTTATAGTAGAGTTACTACGAGATCCAGCAGTACTACTTCAATGTATTTATCCAAAATATCAAAAACAGGACCTCGAAGAGACATCTGCACTCCCATGTTCATTGCAGCATTATTCACAATAGCCAAGAAGCGGAAGGAACCTAAATGTCCATCAACAGATAAAGAAAATGTAATATGTATATACAATGAATATTATTCAGCCTTAAAAAAAGAAGGAAATCCTGTCATGCTACAATAATGGATGAACCCTGAGGACACTATACACTAAGTGAAATAAGCCAGTCATAGAAGGACAAATACTCTGTGAATTCACTTATATGAGATATCTAAAACAGTCAAACTCAAAGAAGAAAAAGTAGAATGGCAGCTGCCAGGCAGAGGGGAAAATAGGGAATTGCTGTTCAATGGCTACAGAGTTTCAGTCACGCAAGATGAAAAAGTTCTAGAGATCTGCTGTACAACAACATTCATATAGCTAACAATACTGTACTGCATATTTAACAATTTGTTAAGTGGGTAGATTTTATGTTATATGTTCTTTACCATAATAAAAAGAACAACAACAACAAAAAAGATAATCCCACTCACCCAAACGTACTAATAGTTCTCATTAGCTGAACAGCAATCCCATTAACAATTGCTTAGACCTTGGTAGCAACTCAGGGAAACTGTTTGCCTGGCTTGGTTAGGGAAGTTTAAACTGCTAGTATACTATACAATACCATAAAACAGCAACAAAAAAGTAAAGTACCAAGTGTAGAAGAGAGTTCTTGCCCCAGATATTTGTCAAACTTCATTTAAACAGTAATGCAGGTTTAAAGCCCAAATTACACTAAACTTATTGTAAGCCACTTTTTTTTTTTCCTTTTTTGTCTTTTTTCGTGTCCAGCAACGGATCGCAACCCTCAGCGTCGCGCCCGGACCGGACCGGGACCGGCAATGGGATCGCAACCCTCGGTGCCGCGCCCACACCTCGTTCAGCCAGTGAGTGGGAACCGGTCCGTATGTGGGATCCGAACCCTCGGCGGGAGCGCCACCGCGCTCACAAGTGGCACACTGTAGCAGTGCGCCACCGGGCCGGCCCGTAAGCCACTTTTTTTATCCCATAAAATATTCATCTGTCCATGCACATGCACACATATGCACGTAAATAAAATTTCACTGTAGCACAATCTCCCCAAAAGTATAAGGTTGACCTTATAAAGTGTTACCAAGAATAAAAGAAGAAATAATCTTAAATTTCTTGTCATACAGTCTATGTTACTAAGACATTCTGGCAAAATTCCTATAAAAGACCTTAAAGGACAAGACAACCCTGTAGAGTTCAACCCAACAACACTGTTACCCACACAATAAGCATACCTCTTAGAATGGTAAAGCTGCTGTTCCAAGTAGAGGCTTTCAAAATGTTTTTAACTACAACCCATAGTAAGAAATGTATTTCATATATAATTGTGGAATATACTGACATTTATAAAGCAAATGTATTTCACAGAGCCTATTCTCCAAAACCCTGTAATCTCAGGTTTAGCCTAACCTTTTAGAATTACATACAGAAATGTTAACCTTGCAAAAGACAGGAAACTTTCCTCAGGCTAAAGTCTTTGTAACACAGCAAAGCTGCTGGACAGACAAGTCACTTGACTGATATGTAAAAATCCTGGGGAAATTGCTGTAGGGAGGGCCGGCCCGGTGGCGCACTGGATAAGTGCGCCGCTTGGGAAGCGCGGCGGCGCTCCCGCCCGAGGGTTCGGATCCCACATACAGACCGGTTCCCGCTCACTGGCTGAGTGAGGCGCGGGAGCAACACCGAGGTTTGCATGCCCGTTGCCGGTCCCCGGTCCGGTACGGGGGCAACACTGAGGGTTGCGATCCGTTGCCAGACACGGAAAAAGACAAAAGACAAAAGACAAAAAAAAAAGAAATTGCTGTAGGGAAAAACAATGTTTGCTAAGATCAAGTTTTGCTGGTGGATTGACTTAACCTTTTGCAAACTGCATTATGGAATGTCACTTTGCTGTTGATGTTACCAGCCTTTATTTTTAAACTATAATTGGCCATAACCCCACCTATGTTATTTTCCTGTAACTTCTTGGTCTGGAGACTAAATGCAGTGCCAGAACCCCAGTTTGTGGTTAATTTCCAAAGAAAGGAACACCTCTCTCTAGAGGGTTCCAGGAAATTAACCCCTTCGCGGCTCTCACTGCTCAGAAGAAATGGGCTTTGAGTAATCCTTTTAGAGGCTCCATCACTCAGGGGAAGAGAAGTGATAGATCCGTGGGAGGCAAAGCAACATATGATCCATATTTATACACATATACATAATTATATAAAACTAAAAAGTTTCATCAAATAACACCATTTAAATGTATATTACTACATACACATACCTCGATATTTTTATTTTATTTTGCTGTTCAATTTTTTTTAACACTTTGTAATACTAAAATTAATTTCACAACCCACTAATGGACACAACCCACAGCTTGTGAAACATTATATTAGCACCACAATATTGAATGCATGCTACAAAATGCAAAGGTTCCAAAGCACAAAGCAAAATGTTTATGACAATGACTTTCTGATGCTATTCACAAATATCCATATCTTTGCTCTCTAGGTACAGTTTCCTGAAAAATTTAAAGTCTGCTCTTTGCTCTGGGAAGTGAAAGATTAAAATCTGCCTTTTGTTCTCAGAATTCTACTGACCCCCAAAGTATGTACTGTAGATAAACAGTTTTTGGAGAAGTAGTTTCAGCATGCAATCAGAATTTCTCCAAAAATATCACTGATTATGTCATCACTAAAGCACAGTAGAATTAGATAGGTTTCACGGTAACACATTTCTTCTCCCTTAAACAAGATAAAGTAGATTAAGTATGATTTTAAGTGTCAGCAGAAAGATGTAACGATAAAATCAAATAACACCTGAGCTAATTTTAGAATAAAAGACTTCAAGTTATCCTGAATAAAAAAATACAAATGTGCTCAAGGTCCCTTCTCAATACCCCATCCTCTCTCCAGCAACGGGCCCACAAATTTTTTTAATATCCTCCTTCATGCCACATCCCATAAATTTTTTGTTTACCATCCTTTCGACTGTAACTTACTTTTTTATGATGGGAAGAAAGACCAGATGCCTCTAAAATGGGTTCCAAATCTCCTTGGTGGTTGTCATTATCACTTCCCCTCGTACCATCAAGTTGACGCCCTTTTCTGAGCCTTATATGTGGCTCTGGAGTCCTGCTGCACCCCAATCGGTTTTCTGCTGGCTCGTTCATGGGATACCCACACCTTTCTTACAAAGAGGTCTCTCTTTCTGTACTTTCTTCTTGGGAGAATGCAATTTCAGGACAGTTAGCTGACCCTAAGAAGAGGAAAGTTTTGAATAAATATATTGTAAATAAATGCATTAAATGAGTGCTGGGAGAAGATATCAGTTATATACATTCAACAATAGAATAACTAGCAGTCATTAAGAATAGTAAAAGAATAATGTATAAAAAAACCTATACAAGTATTTGCTGATAGGAAAGATTATCAAAATCTATTTTTAAATAGGGTGGGGAAAAAAGCAGGACACATGACAACATATATATGTTCCCACTTATATGTTATAAAAATATAAAATCATATAAGTGTATATGTACATAGAATAATCACTGGAAAACCATGCTTTTGTACAGAAGTACATAGGGAAGAATCTAGAGTCCAGAGTGAAGAAAATTTACTATTCACTTTGTTCTGCATGCATTTTTTTTAAAACCGTATATCATATTACTTTTTCAATTTAAAATATACTTAACTGTAGAAAGAATATATGTTAAGTATATACATTATAGCTAGGTTTTAAATAACCAATCTTATTTAAACGTCACAATAACTCCATAGCGTATTTTTATTTCTATTTCACAGGTGAGGAAACCAAAATTTACTATACTTTGTATAAATTAAATAGGACAAATTCTCTAAATAGATATAGCACCTATTGATAATGTTTTGCATTCAAAATGCTTAATGTCTAACATTTCAACATTTTGAGTTGTTTAAACTCTAGACTACTTTGGAAGGTAAGAAACTCACGACCAGAGCATATTCTTTTTATATCCAACTGAACTCTCAAAAAGTACTATACACATAAATGTTTAACGAACATTAGATAGGTGATATTTCAACGTTCTTGAGTGATAAAAACACTTTCAGAAATCATCAATATCTCTCTAAACCATACTGCAGTAAGTAAATTTTCTAGGAGTTCAATCCTTTCAAGTCCCTGGCACTCTACCTCTTAACTCATAGCACACAAGCTTAAACAATCAGTTGCACAGGCAAATGAGATTATCACTAAATAGGAAGAGACCAGGGTACATGTATGTTATTAAATCCCATGAGATTTAAAAGGAGAAAAGGAGAAGGGCAAAGTGGGCAGGCCTAGATACCATAAAGAGGTCAGAGGTGTATTTTATATGCATGTATATGGATATACAGACTAACAATTAGCCAAATGTTAGTTTCATAAATCATGTGAGTTTGCTGGAGGATTTCTCTGGGGGCTTATGAAGTTTATGGAGCAATAACAAACACAAATCTTTAAGGATCCCCAAATCTGGGCATGTACCTACCACTTAAAGGTCTGAGAAAGCACATTAAACTACTGAGATTATACATTATGCTACTAATGCTCATTTCTGAAAGAGGAAACTGATACTAATAGTTTACATTTACTTAATTATTTAGCTATTTAGCTAAATATTTAGCTTAATTATTTAGCTATTACAAAGCTATTTCACACCCAAACAATAGAATACTTAGCAGTCATTAAAATAGTGACTACATTTGTTTTCAAAGAAGCAGCTAACATTATACTGGATCAACAAATGTATTTATGTTACCGAAAGGTCAGGCTCGGCTTGCCCTCTCGCCTTAAACAAATGACCTGAAAGTCCAAAAGTTGATGCAAGAATTGGAAGGTTTATTCAGATTACCAGTACTCAACTAAATGTCTAACCTAGCAAACAAAGAGAAAAGAGGAGCAGTGGGGTCCAGTTTAGCCTAGTCCTAATTGGCGGGGCCAACCTATTCCATTAACAGTAACTGATAAAAGCAGTTCTCCCCACTGTTTTCAGCATAAAGAAGAAAAGTATCAACTAGATTCAAATCAGAGAAAGCATAGCCAGGAGCCCTCCAGGGTGCACCTATACAGAAGGGGATACAATCCAGCCAAACAGAAGAGGGCTCAGAAAATCAGAAACAAAGCATAGCTGGGAGCCCTCCAGGGTGTGCCTATACAGAAGTGGATACAATCCAACCAAACAGCAGAAGAGGGCTCAGAAAAAGCAGAGAAAGGTAAAGAGAATAAAGGGTGCCCAAAGCTTTCCAATTTTTGCCAGTGATTAAATTAGGCTCTTGGATTCCAAAGTCATAGAAATGAACAATGTACCCAACAGTAAAGCAAGCAACGCTTTATTAAAAGAGGAAATAGACTTATGTATAAGGCGGTAGTGACAGTAAAGCTAGCGCCCCCCTCCCCCACCCCAGGGGAGCTGTTCAGGGACTTTTATAGGGAAAGGAGTTAAGGGGTGGCAGGCCAGCGTCACTGGTGGTGGTCCGCTCTGTTCTTCCTGGTTGCATCATGGGTGCATGCTCAGTAGGCAGTGGTGTTCATCATTGTCACCCCAGGCGAGTCATTGAAGCAGTCACCTAGATGCTTTGTGCGCAGGTGGGAATTCCAAAGGGGTCTTAAAATTAATCTGTAACTTTTACAATTATAGTAAACAAGCCTTGGGGAGGGGTTTTGACACTCAGTAAATATGTTTCCTCTCTTAGTCTGTTTTGTCAGGGCAGCCCAAGGGGTAATCATGTGCCTGAGGGGCCTCATGACTGAGGAGTGGAAAAGTAACAAAGTGTCCTCTGCAGGGAAAATGGAGTCAGTTTGGTTCACAGGCCTCGCCTTACTGTTTCATTTACATGTGTATCTCACATAATCCTTAAATACAGCCCTCTGAGGTATTATTATCCCCCATTTAACAGATGTGGAAACTGAGAATCGGCTATTAAGTAACTTATTCAAGATCATTAGGATTAAAAAGAGGAGGCAGCTGATATTTATACCCAGGTCTTTCTGGACCTCATGAAGTTCATGTGCATGGGGGAAAAACAGTTAAGAACCTGAACCCTAAACTCAATTGTTTTACATCACAACTATAGAATCAGGATCTTCATTCTCAAACTGTAGCAAGGAGAATAAAGCTTCTTAAAAGTATTCGTGAAATATGAGCACACCCAACTTCTCATAAGCCGGAGCTATATATGGAGGAGTGCTGCTCATTTATGAGAATATAAATGGAATGCTTTGTTAGTAAGAATTGTTTTTTTTTTTTTGTTTTTGTTTTTTTGTCTTTTATCTTTTTCCGTGTCCGGCAACGGGATCGCAACCCTCGGCGTTGCTCCCGCGCCTCGCTCAGCCAGTGAGCGGGAACCGGTCTGCATGTGGGATCCAAACCCTCGGGTGGGAGCACCGCCGCGCTTCCCAAGCGGCGCACTTATCCAGTGCGCCACCGGGCCGGCCCATTAACCCGCTTTAAAGTAGATCTTTTCCTTTCTACATCATGTAGAGCTGACATTGCTTAGATCAGAATACCTTCTTTCTTTTTCTTTTCCTTTTGATTTTGGGCCCAGATGTTTGTTTTGCTAACATACTTCTTCCACTAATGCCTTTCTTTATAGAGTTTCCCATCCTAGAAAATAAGAGGCCTGTGAGTTACCGGACCGGGGACCGGCAACGGTATTGCAACCCTCGGTGCTGCTCCCGCGCCTCGCTCAGCCAGTGAGCGGGAACCGGTCTGCATGTGGGATCCAAACCCTCGGGTGGGAGCACCGCCGCGCTTCCCAAGCGGCGCACTTATCCAGTGCGCCACCGGGCCGGCCCAGTAAGAATTGTTTTTTAACCCTCAACTCAGAAAAAGAAAGCAAATGACAAGAAGTAAGCTTTCCTAAATAAATTCTTAAGGATTCTCATTAAAATTTTAAAAAATAAGAAAGTCAATTTCTAGGAAAGTCCTGAGATCAATATACATTCCCATCATCAATGATTTCTAAATTTACAAGTACAGTAAAATAAGAATGAAGAAAATAAAGCACTGTAAAATCTTCAAAGAACCCTTCTATACTAAAACAGGAAGGTCCATCAATATATTTTAGTTTCAACAATAGAACTGTTGAAGGAAAAAGCATTTATCGTCAACCCTCAGGTTCCCACAGATCTAACAAAACAGAACACCCTCATCCTAGAACACCTTAAAGAACACCAAAATCACATGAAGAGGTGTTCAACATCATTATCCATCAGGGAAATGCAAATTAAAACCACAAGAAGATATCACAACAAACCTAATCAGGATGACTAAAGTAAAAAACAGGAGCAGCGAGGAGATTGACTTCTGGTATGACAGTGTGAGGAGCTCCACTAGTCTAATCTCCAAGGAAACTGGGGAAAGCTATGAAAACCCAACCACTAAAAACCTCTGGAAATGGTCCTTAGGGTAGGCAGCAAGTGAAGAAACATCTATTCAAGAACATCTATGAAAACTCAGTGAGAAAGGCAAGAGTATGTGGTATTTGAACTTTTTTCTTCCTCCCACCCCCTCCCAGCTCAGAAAAGCAAGACTCCACTCAGACTGCTAGAGGCAAGAACACAGGGCTCCCTCTGCCCCCTGCACACAGATGAGGGGTTTCTTCCCCAGAGGAGCAGAACATCAATGTTTCTCATTCTTTCCCGCTACCTGCTGCTGAGGCTGACTCCTTGGTGAGCATCGTTTAGAAGTAGGGGCTCCCTTCTTCCGCCTAGCCTCCACTTGTGGAATGGAGCCTCTACCTTGGGCATGGCACACAAAAAATAATGGAGCTCTGTTCATTCTTGACACAGCTCATGAGATAGTGGTTCCACACCAGGATAACCTCAAGCTACTGCCTACGGAATCTCCTGGAGTGGGGCTGTCACTCAGAGAGAAACTTGTCATTGTTCCTACTTCCACACCTCTAGAGCCCAGGCTCAGAAATTTTGCCTGGAGAAATAAGCAGGTAAACAAACAAGCAAAAAAACCAGATAGCTTTTAATGTCTTCCCAAAGCACCTGACTTCATTTGCAACACAGGGCTAAAGGCGCTTTAAAGAACCGTGTGGGTTGAAAGGCAATTGGGACGAGAATCAAGATACAAGCAATTGAGAGAAGAATCAACATACAGGCTAAACCGTAAGTTAGTTTGCAGAAAACAACCAGGGAATAAGTTATCTAGTAGAATCAGAACAAAAATTAAACAATGACCTCAGAAACAATTTCTTCAAAAAAGCCAGAATATGGATTATTCT